GAAATAATGCTGGAAATTGCATGGTCAAATTTTGAAAGACCAACGACTTATTCATTGCAAATACCTTTTTTTAACAACACAAACGGCAGCTATACACATGTACTTCACCAGATGGAGTACACAGGAATCAGATTGACTACATCTGTGGCAAGAGGTGATGGAAAAGGTCAATATCTTCAGCCAATACCAGGCCGGGAGCTGATTGTGGAACAGACCATCAACTGCTCATATGCAAGTTCAACTTGAAGTTGAAGACAATTAAAACAAGTCCACGAGAGCCAAAATATGACCTTGAATATATCCTCCTGAATTTAGAGGCCATCTAAAGAATAGATTTGATGCATTGAATACCAGTGATCAAAAACCAGAAGAATTGTGGGATGACATCAAGAGCATCATCCATGAAGAAAGCAAGAGGTCATTAAAAATATGAGAAAGAAAGAAAAGACCAAAATGGATGCCAGAAGAGACTCTGAAACTTGCCCTTGAGCAGAGAGTAGCTAAAGCAAGTGGAAGAAATGACAAGATCAAAGAGTTGAACAGAAGATTTCAAAGAGCAGCTTGAGCAGACAAAGCCAATTACTATAATGAAATGTGCAAAGACCTGGAGTTAGAAAACCAAAAGGGAAGAACATGCTCGGCATTTCTCAAGCTGAAAGAACTGAAGAAAAAAATTAAGCCTTGAGTTGCAATATTCTGTGGGCAAAATATTGAATGATACAGGAAGCGTCAAAAGAAGATGGAAAGAATACAAGAGTCACTGTACCAAAAGAACTGGCCAATCTTCATCCATTTCAGGAGGTGGCATATGTTCAAGTACCAACGGTATTGATGGAAGAAGTTGAAGCTGCACTGAAAGAATTGGTGAAGAGCAAGTTTCCAGGAAATGATGGAATACCCATTGAGATGTTTCAGCAAACCGATGCCCCACTGGAGGCACTCACTCAGTTATGCCAAGAGATTTGGAAGACAGTTACCTGGCCATCTGACTGGAAGAGATCCATATTTATATCCATCCCAAAGAAAGGTGATCCCACAAAATGTGGAAATTATCAAAAAATATCATTAATATCACATGCAAGTAAAATCTTACTGAAGATAATTAAGAAACAGTTGCAGCAGTACACTGACAGAGAACTTCCAGCAACGCAAGCTGGATTCAGAAGAGGACGTGGAATGAGGGATATCATTGCTGATGTCAGGTAGATCTTAGCTTAAAGCAGAAAATACCAGAAAGATGTTTACTGGTGTTTTATTGACTATTCCAAAACATTTGATTGTGTGGATCATAACAAACTGTGGAAAGCACTGAGAAGAATGGGAATTCCGGAACACTTGATTGTGCTCATGAGGAACCTGTACATAGACCAGGAGGCTGTCATTCAAACAGAACAAGGGGACACTGCATGGTTTAAAATCAAGAAGGGAGTGCATCAGGGTTGTATTCTTTCCCCACACTTATTCAATCTGTATGCTGAGCAAATAGTCCAAGAAGGTGGACTATATGAAGAAGAACGTGGCATCAGGTTTGGAGGAAGAATCATTAACAATCTGTGATACAATGACGAGACAACTTTGCTTGCTGAAAGTGAGGATGGCTTGAAGCACTTACTGATGAAGATTCAAGAATACAGTCTGCAGTATGGATTACATCTCAATATAAAGAAAACAAAAATCTTCACAACTAGACCTGTAAGCAGGTGGTAAATGGAGGAAAGATTGAAATTGTCAAAGGCTTCACATTGGTTGGTTCTACAGTTGACACCAATGGAAGCAGCAGTCAGGACATCAGAGGACATATAGCACTGGGCAACTTGGCTGCAAAGGACCTCTTTCAAGTGCTGAAGAGCAAAGACATCTCCTTGAGGACTAAGGTGCACTTGACACAAGCGTGGTATTTTCAGTTGCTTCATATGCATGTGAGAGCTGGACAGTGAATAAGGAAGACCAAAGAAGAATTGATGCTTTGAGTTGTGGTGTTGGTGAAGAATACTGAAAGTACCATGAACTGCGAAAAGAAGTAACAGGTCTGTCCTGGAGGAAGTGCAGCCGGAATGCTCCTTGGAGGTGAGAATGGCCAGACTTCATCTCACATATTTTGGTCATGTTGTCAAGAAGGGACCATTCTCTGGAGAAGGATGTCGTGCTTGGTAAGGTGGAGGGTCGACGAAAGAGGGGAAGGTCCTCAATGAGATGGATTGACACGGTGGCAGCAGCAGGGATCATGGAGCTGGCACAGGACTGGGTGGTGTTTCCTTCTGCTGTGCTCATGGTCGCTGTGAGTCGGAGACGACCCAACAGCACCTAACAACAACAGCAGCAACAGGCAAGGGCAAGTGTGCTCATGACCATGTATAGGGTTGGCAGATAAGTTTTTAATTAATGAGATTGGGAAAACAAATTACCTCCTCGTATTTTGTCCAGAAGCTTGCATTTAATAGCTATATTATACCCTGATAGTTTTCTGTCAAAAATAAGAAATATAGCATACCTCTTGTACATCATTGTAAAAATCTTTTCTCCCTCCATATTTACTGGTTAGAGTTGGGCTTTATTGACATATCTTACCACAAAATTTTTAAAAATAAGTTTATTACCTTACCTAGTCTTTTGCATTGCTGTGTTTTAAGCCACCTGATTTCTCATATCGTTCTTTGACATTTCCAGATAGCTTTCAAAGTAAACAGTAGGGATATTTTGATTCTTTGGGAGTTTCTTGCTCTGACAGCAGTATCTAAGTTAAAAGAATTGTCTCAGGACTTGTAAAGGGTATATATGTATTTCTAGATTAGAAATGTATTTCTCCATTTTTCTTGTATGTCTACTATTTACATATATCAGAAGCTTTAAATGTCAGAAAATAAGTTTGTTTTCCCAGAATATAGTATCCTGGAATTTCCTCAAAAGCTGTATTTCTTTTCTTTTTGGTAAAAATATGCAAAGCAAAACTTGCTTCCATTCCACAGTTTCTAGACATAATGATCAGTAACATTGATTATGTTCTTCATATAGGGTCAACATTCTTCTTATTTCTGTTCTAATTGTCTTGCTCCTATTAACTTACACTCTCTGCTTCCCAAAAGCTATGTAGATATGGTGGGATGTTGTTGATTTCCCCCTCAGCCTAGTCACTTAATGGTCACAGTTGATAATTGACCTGGAAATTTTGCTGACATATGCTTGCTTCATTGTCTTCGGTTATATAGATTCTTTTGCAAAGACACGTAAGTGTATCTGGATTTTAGAGTTTTATTTCATTCCCTACCCTATACTTTATCACTGTGTTTCATTTATGAATTGGTGGTGTTTTGTTCACTTTTATTCCTCTATTCTAAATTTTTCTGAAAGGGAGCTCCAGTAGCATAGTGCCTAAGGCACTTGACTGCTAACCAGAAGGCTGGTGGTTCAAACGCACCAGCCACTCCTCGGAAGGAAGGTTGGGCAATCTACTTCCATAGTGATACTGCCTCAGAAGCCCAAGGAGGGGTGGCTATGAGTCAGGGCCGACTCAATGGTATATAACAACAACAACAACAACAACAGTTTATAAGTCAAATCTTTTTACAATGTTTATTATGAAAACAAACAACATCATATTCCTCTCTCACTGCTCATTGTAGCCCTTCTCCACTTTTCTCATCCTTGACTCTCTTTCAACTTCATTTCCATTGTTTCATTGTGAGTAATGCTCATGAAACCAAAAAGCTATTTGCCATCGAATGGATCCTAGTTCATGGCCACTCTGTGTGTGTCAGGGTGGAACTGTGTTCCGTGGAGCGCTCAGTGGCTGATTTTTCACAAGTAGATTCCTGGGTTTCTGTTTTGAGACTTCACTGGGTGGATTCAAACCTCCAATCTTTTGAGTTAGCAGCTGAGTGTGTTTGCTGTTTAGATCTATGTTTCGACACGATAGATCCTGTATTTCTCGATTTTTAAGTTTTTATTTATAATCTCCTGTCGGGAGTGAGAATTTAGCCTGCAATACTCTGTCACCCCAACGTAATTATGATAGATGCTATTAAAAAAAAAAGTTATGTTTAGAAGATTTTTTTGACTATAAAATGCTATTAGAGTGAAATATTTTAGAAAATAAAAACTGCATTGCTGGGGAATTGCACTAAAAGCAAAATATTAGAGCCAGTAGGTATTTATATTTGTATAATTTTAGTAGACTAACCAAGGTAACCATTTTGATTTAGCTAAAGCATTAAGATAGCATATGAGAAAAATCATTTACTCTTACCTTGCAGTAGTCACTAAATGAGCTTTGTTATTTTTTAACTGTGGCCAATTAGAGTCTTAGTCACTAAACGTTTTGTAGTAGTGAAAGTTTAACCCTACTTAAAAGAACAAAAGTGGTAAAGACACTGTTTTGAGATTCATGGATTTGCATGAAAAACCTCACAGGGGACCAATAGTAATTGCCTCCGCATGAGAGAGAGAACATATTTTAAAATAATTGGAGACTGTCTTTTATGTGTTCTCTTTGGTTTAGTTTTGATTTCATGCACTTTAATTTGTTTCTGTCTCTTAAGTTTTTTTCTTAATGTACTCTCAAGAATGTGAAACACTTTGGAGGATCTCATTATCACTCATGACATTCCATTCTTCTGTACCACTGAATATAAATTTTTTGTCTGTCAGTCTTATAAGAAAAAGTATCTAAGAGCAGACTGTTACATTTAACAATCTCACAGTAGTGAAAACCCTAAAGTACATTTTGTGTAAGTTCAAATACACTTTAATGATTTCCCTTAAGTGAATATTTCAGAGATACCTTCCTTTGTTCATATCTAAGTTCTACACGAGTGATCCTTTTTTGCTTACATTTTTCATCATTCTTATCTGTAAGATTCACATTTTTACTTATAGTCTACCTTATGTGCTGGTTATTAGTCATTCCTTTGACCAGTGTGGTCTGAGGTGGTATAATTGAAGATGCTCCATTATTCAGTGAATACATTAGGTTACAAACTCAACTTTTGCTTTTCTCTGCAAAGGCACTGAGGCGTGAATTAAAGGAGAAAGAGTATTCTGTCCTGAACGCTGTAGACCAAGCTCGAGTGTTCCTTGCTGATCAGCCAATTGAGGCCCCTGAAGAACCAAGACGAAATCTACAATCAAAAACAGGTGAGGTTTCTTTAATACATCAGAAAAAAACACATTAGAGAGAAAAAAAAGACAAATTTCCTTACAGCATTTCAGGATCAGAGATTTGAAATTACTTCTTAAGTATGACTTTATCATACATGCCATTATTTAACTAATATCTAGTTCTGGGATCAAAACAATGAAATTTTTATATGCTTCAATGATGTTATTTTTAAAAGAAGTTAACTGTAGGAAAAAAAAAACAATGATTTATATGGAAAGCATACTGTAGCTATAAAAATGATTTCTTAAATAAGTAGAAATTTACCTTTCTTTTACACAAATTACCTAATAGGAAATTACAAGTAGAAGAGTGGTGCTAAAATATGAGAATAAAATGTTAAATATTCAAATATCTGTATAGTAAGATTTATTTAAACTTCTGCTTTTTCAAGATCTTTGTTTTTAATAATATTTGAGTTTTTGGTGGTAGTTTGCACAGCGAGTTAGGTTCCCACTTGACATTTCCACACAAATTGTTCTGGGCCATTAGTCATATTTATCACAGTTTGTCCCCGTTCTCTTTGGTTGGGTTCCGTTTGCTCCTTTTCTAGCTCTGGGTTCCCTGCCCCATTATCATCCCATCTTTGCTTTTGAGAAATTGTTGGTCTTTATGTCTCTCACTAACGGTTTTTAAGCAGAGCACCAGTGTTATGGGTAAAATCCTTTATTTTGTGTGTCATTCTGCTATTTTACTAGAAGGTGGTGTCAGGGTTTAGAAGGTGCTGTCAGGGTTTAAAGAGTGGCTCAAGGCGATAGTCTCACAGGGTCCTCTCTTCTCTACTTTTCCAATTTGTCTGGCTTCTTTATTTTTTTACATCAGAATTTGAGTCAAGATCAAAATGCCTTTTGTTTACAACCAAGCAGCATTTATTTCATTAATCATAACAACTAATAGCACTTACATACTTTGGTTTAAAATGCAAACTTTAAGCTATCTCACTAGCAAATAGCCATATATCTCATAGTAAATTTAAGAAAAAAATTTGTAATAAATGTGGGGACATCTTGAATCTTTATTGTGATTGCTTTCTCTTGACAATGAAATCACTCGGATGCATTTTAAAAAATAAACATGCCACTTAGAGTTTTTTTCATCATTCACTTCCCATTGTTGAGCAGAACTGAAAGACTGCCCCATGCTGTGTCCAGGAGTGTAATTCATGAACATTGATTAGTTGTAAGGAAACTGTAGTTGGAAAATGCTTTCTTTGCCTAGAGTTAAAACTGATTCAGACATTTGGACAGGTAACCATTTGCCCTCTGAGCCGTTTTCAGGTGACTGCTTCTCTCTTCTGAATATATTTCTCTCAAGGCCATGATTTTCTTGAAGGTTTTGAACATAGTTTTCTGTGTGTGTATAACACACACACACAACATTAAGCACATTTACAATCTTTTACAACATCTTACCGTTCATTCCTCTTTGCTGCTTCAGGTGGCAGTTACCCCACTTAGATACACATATAGAAGACCAAAAACAAACCCACCAACCCACTGCCTTGGAGTCTATTCCAACTCATATCAACCCTATAAGACAGAGTAGAACTGCCCCACAAGGTTTCCAATGCTGTAAATCTTTGCGGAAACAGACTGCCTCATTTTTCTCCTGTGGAATAACTGTTGGGCTCGAACCACTGCTGACCTTTGGTTAGCAGCTGAATGCTTTAACCTCTCTGCCACTAGAGTACCTGGTATAGGAGGTCATAAAAACCAAACTCACTGTCATCGAGTCAATTCCAACTTTTAGTGACCCCATTGGGTTTTTGAGGCTGTAAATCTTTAAGGACATAGAGGAACTCCACAAATGTTGATGATTCATTTTAGAAATTTTGGGTTTATTTCTATATCATCCTAAAATCAATACTGTATTCCTTTCTTATATTTATATGCCTTTTCCATTACTCTACTGAGAAACTGAGGAGCCCTGATGGTGCATTGGTCAAAGTGCTTGGCTGCTAACCAGATGGGTGGCAGTTTGAACCCCCCAGCCACTCTGCAGGACAAAGATGTGGCAGTCTGCTTCCATAAAGATTTCGTCTTAGAAACCCTATGAGGCAGTTCTGCTCTTATCCTCTAGAGTCCTTATGAGTTATAATCAACTCAATAACAACAGATTATTTTTTTTCAAAGAAACTAAGTCTTGTTGAGTGTTCCACCTTTCATCACCCCACATTCTAGAAATTACTCATAATTGTTATTATTCTATCTTTGAAGTATTATTTCTTCTGAATTCTCTCTTTTGCTCTTTCTTTCTCACAGGTGCACACACACACACACACACACACATACACCACCACCACCGCCAAATTCCAGATTCTTAGGGTATTTGGTGTAGATTTATCAAATAACTTTAGTGCTTATCTCATTTCATTGATCTGTCCCCTTTGGGAAACACTTAGTATATGCTTCTCCATTTTTGTCTATTCCTAATGAACTAATCTCATCATAGAATCATATACATGTTCCTCCCATGATCAAACACCTTCAGTGACTCCTTTGCTGTGGGGCTAATTTTACCTAAAGAATTTGTTTTTTGTCTTTGGTTCCTAAGAGATAATCTCTCAAACCTTGAAATTTCCCCAGTGATTAAAATGTCTTTGAGGAGGGCTCCAGACTACACGTAACCTAACAGGTTAGGCTAATGAAGTGCCTCTGGGAGATGGCTGGCACACCTGTGATATCAGCTGACCTGATTCAATCAATTATGTCTAAGTAAGGAGCTCTGGTGGCATAGGACCTAAGGCTTTTGACTGCTAACGAGAAGGCTGGCGGCTCAAACCCACCAGCCACTCCTGGAAAGGAAGACTGGCCAATCTGCTTCCGTAGAGATACTGTCTTGGAAACCCAAGGGGGGTGTTGCTATGAGTTGACTCTACCTGATGGCAGTGAGTTTGGTTTTTTGTTTTTTTAAGGAGATCCCAGTAAAGGCTCTGGGCAGGGAAGCTTTATAGACTTCCTGATTGGCAAAAGACACTGATGCCCAGAGAACAGTAGTGTGTCCCATATTTGAACATGGAAGCTTTGTATTGCGAACCCTCCCAGACTTCATTCTATGCATCTTTTCATTTGTATCACTTTTGTAATAATAAAACTGTGAACATAGATATAGAGCTTTCCATGAGTTCTGTGAGTTTTTCTGGTGAGTCTTTGAACCCAAGGAGTAGTAGAAGCCAGTAATTCAGAAGTTTGGAGACTTGGGGACTCCCAAGCTTACAGCTGGCATCCTGAAGGTATAGAGGGAACCCCCAAACTTGTAGCCAGCAGATTAGAAATGAGGATACCTGGAGAGTCCCAACTTGCAGCTGGCATCTGAGGTCTTGGGCAGACTTAGCAGTCTGTAGGACTGTCCTTTAACTTGTCAGATCTGATCTAGCTCTGGGTGGTTAGGGTCAGAGGAGGAAATACTGCACGTGCAATAAGGAACAAAATTCGATAAATTTGAATTGGAAGTGAATTCCTTCAGTTTATTTGATGTCAGAGAACTAAATTAGATTTTATTAATAGATTTGTTGATTTGGTTGACATGTATGCAGGTTGCATAGGATAAAAATTCTTGACTACAGTATGATATTTTAAAATCTTTGTAATCAAGCCCTCCTGATTTTTCAGCCTACATTCCTACTACAGTTTTCAAGGGATCTGTTGGTGGTGCAAACTGTTATGCACTTACCTGCTATCCAAAATGCTGGAGTTTTGAGTCCAAACATGTGCCTCTGAAAAACGGCCTGGCCATGTACTTTTAAAAATCTAGCCATTGATGAGTAGCATCTGGGATCTTATAAGCTTGCAAACAGCCATCCAGATGCAATGATGAGTCTCTCCTCATCCAGAGCAAAGAGGAATGAAGAAAACCAAAGACACATGGAAACAGTTAGTCCAAGGGGTTGGTACACCACAAAATCCTCAGCCTAGATGACTATGAGACCAGAAGAACTAGATGGTGCCTGGCTACCATTGTCAACCACTCAGAGGGAGATCTATGTAGGAGATCCTGGATAGAGTGGGAGAACAATGTGGAACAAAACTCAAAATCATAGGGGAAGAAAAAATGGACCAGGTTTGCTGGTCTGATAGCCTGGTAGAACCCCTGAGACCTTGGCCCCTAGCCACCCTTCAGGCCTGAAATTGAACCCACAGCTGTGGCTGAACATTTACATTAAGTAGATACTCTCCTTGGAAACATCAATCATGGGAGGATAGAAGGGCTGGATATGCACAGGGAGACAGTTCAGTGGGCAGGAGTGCATGGGAGGGAAGGATACAGGGAAGAGGTGGCTATGGGGAGGAGGTAGGAAGAGAACTGTTGCGTTGTGGGAGATGGCAGTCAATGTCATGAGACAAAGTGTATATGAACTGCTGTAAGGAAGATGAATTTGCTCTGTAAACTTTCACCCAAATCATACACACACACACAAAATCTAGCCATTGAAAACTCTGTGGAGCACAGTTCTGCTTTGACACACATGACGTTACCATGAGTCTGAACCAGCTTGACAGCAATTGGTATTATAGCCAAAACATACTACATATTTTGTTGTATGATCTTGGGACCATCTTACCATAGAAGTGCTACATGTCTTCTTCAATATTTTGGAGGCTCATCATAGTTTAAGGCCTGTTTATGTCCTTTACATAGAAGATTAGAATGGTTAAAAGCCTTAGAGATAACTGGTCCAAAGCTTCCATTTTACAGATGAGGAAACTGAGATCCACAGAGGGAAAGTAACTTGCTCACTTCCTCTTTGATACCTAACATATTCTTCCCTCATGTATGTGGATTTTTTGTTCAATTTTTCTTATTTGCCCTGAATTGAGGAATCTAGTTTTAGTCATTTTGTATCCCATACAATGCCTCATTCCTGTATATATTAGTTTGATGAAGGATAAATGATGGTATAAATGAATGTTTTTGTTGTTATGTACCATTGAGTCGGACCCAACTCATAGCAATCCCTTTTTGGGTTTCCAAGGCAGTA